AGTGACTGACTATACTTACATTTTTATACATATCTTGTAGTACGTTTCACAGTGACTGACCTTACTTACATTTTTATACATATCTTGTAGTACGTTTCACAGTGACTGACCTTACTTACATTTTTATACATATCTTGTAGTACGTGTCACAGTGACTGACTATACTGACTTTTGTGTACATAACTTGTAGTACGTGTCACAGTGACTGACTATACCTACTTTTGTATACTTATTTTGTGTTGTAAATAAAGTGTAAATATTAATGTACTTATTGTGTTGTTCAATTAATTTGAACTGGTGGCGGCGGCGGAATTGTTACAGAAAGTAACACGTTCGGACATTATAAAAACGTAACAATACATATCTTGTAGTACGTGTCACAGTGACTGAACATACTCATTGTTGTATACATGTCTTGTAGTACGTGTCACAGTGACTGACTATACTTACTTTTGTGTACATAACTTGTAGTACGTGTTACAGTGACTGATTATACCTACTTTTGTATACTTATTTTGTGTTGTAAATAAAGTGTAAATATTAATGTACTTATTGTGTTGTTCAATTAATTTGAACTGGTGGCAGCGGCGGAATTGTTACAGAAAGTAACACGTTCGGACATTATAAAAACGTAACAATACATATCTTGTAGTACGTGTCACAGTGACAGACTATTCTTACTATTGTATACATATCTTTTAGTATGTGTCATAGTGACTGACTATACTTACTTTTGTATACAGATAGTGTAGTTGGTGTCATAGTGACTGACTATACCTACTGTTGTATACAGATATTGTAGTACGTGTCATAGTGACTGACTATACTTACTTTTGTATACAGATAGTGTAGTAGGTGTCATAGTGACTGACTATACCTACTGTTGTATACAGATATTGTAGTACGTGTCACAATGACTGACTATACTTACTTTTGTATACTGTTACGAATTTAGTAGCCATTTAATTGTTCAAAGTGTACAGATGATTAGCTATGCATTTATTAGCCTTGGCTCGTGATCAGCGTCACTTGTAGTACGTGTCACAGTGACTGACTATACTTACTTTTGTGTACATAGCTTGTAGTACGTGTCACAGTGACTGACTATACTGACTTTTGTGTACATAACTTGTAGTACGTGTCACAGTGACTGGCTATACTTACTTTTGTGTACATAGCTTGTAGTACGTGTCACAGTGACTGACTATACTGACTTTTGTGTACATAACTTGTAGTACGTGTCACAGTGACTGGCTATACTTACTTTTGTGTACATAGCTTGTAGTACGTGTCACAGTGACTGACTATGCTTACTTTTGTGTACATAACTTGTAGTACGTGTTACAGTGACTGATTATACCTACTTTTGTATACTTATTTTGTGTTGTAAATAAAGTGTAAATATTAATGTACTTATTGTGTTGTTCAATTAATTTGAACTGGTGGCGGCGGCGGAATTGTTACAGAAAGTAACACGTTCGGACATTTCAAAAACGTAACAATACATATATTGTAGTACGTGTCACAGTGACTGACTATACCTACTTTTGTATACTTATTTTGTGTTGTAAATAAAGTGTAAATATTAATGTACTTATTGTGTTGTTCAATTAAATTTGAACTGGTGGCAGCGGCGGAATTGTTACAGAAAGTAACACGTTCGGACATTATAAAAACGTAACAATACATATCTTGTAGTACGTGTCACAGTGACTGACTATACCTACTTTTGTATACTTATTTTGTGTTGTAAATAAAGTGTAAATATTAATGTACTTATTGTGTTGTTCAATTAATTTGAACTGGTGGCGGCGGCGGAATTGTTACAGAAAGTAACACGTTCGGACATTTCAAAAACGTAACAATACATATATTGTAGTACGTGTCACAGTGACTGACTATACTTACTTTTGTGTACATAGCTTGTAGTACGTGTCACAGTGACTGACTATACTTACTTTTGTGTACATAACTTGTAGTACGTGTCACAGTGACTGATTATACCTACTTTTGTATACTTATTTTGTGTTGTAAATAAAGTGTAAATATTAATGTACTTATTGTGTTGTTCAATTAAATTTGAACTGGTGGCAGCGGCGGAATTGTTACAGAAAGTAACAAGTTGGGGATATTATAAAAACGTAACACTAGTGTGCAGCGGTGGGATTCGAACTTCAACACGTGCTCTATGAATAAATGGTGATATTGTATTTAACACATATCCTTTGGAAAGAATGTTACATTGTATTTGGATTATACAATTAAACACATCATCGGGCCAAAGATGGTGACAAACACAGTGATGTGGTTTATTTTGTTACTTGTGAGTATTCATTATTCAGTCTGTAATTGTGATGGCAAAAATGCTACGGCATGCATTGTGATATATTATTTGCATACAACAGAATGTCATCTGATGGGGACAATTCGTCGTACATTCGGATATATTGAAACTTCAGATTTAATTAAACTGTGGGACCCAGGAATATAAGGCTAAAAAAATATTTTGTTCTTTTGCAAACTGACATCCGAAACGAATAAACTGATAGTAAAACTTGAGGGTGATTCGTCGATGGCACTAATTCAGGATAGAATGGAAATGATAAAGAAAGTGCCCAAAGTAGAAATTCTTTCCGAGTTTAGTGAAGAAAATTTGTAGATTCTGAATACTAAAATGAGAGTAAGATTTTGGAGAGATGATCATGAACAGTCTGAGGTTTCAAAATAAAGCATCGCCCAAGATTGAGGACTGATCATAAGTCTTCGTTGTTCTGACGGGTTTGACGATTTTGACAATAAGAATCATCCATCTGATCAATGCTTGAACATTTTAGAACTTTGTTTGGCTTTCGATACATAAATGACGTGCCAACTTCATGTAGTATGAGGAACGAACCAGGGAATTAGTTCATGAGTACATGAAATTGGACAATTGGGTTAAGCCTAGTGTTAAAGTTCTGTTAATTAAGTTGTCAATGAACAAGCTTGTGTTGATCTTAAGGAGTCTTAGCACAAGTCTCGCTGGTTCACGTAGGCGAGTTGTTCAACAACTATACAAGTCTGAAATCTGACGGAGCAGAGTAACTCCAGCTTCCAGGTATGGGACCCTGGGTCTGATCTGGGTGGGAGATCAGCATCGGAGAAATTAATGGAAAGTTGATGGTGGACCAAAACACCGGAGAATAAATCAGCAGGATGAATTGACGGATACGGAGGTGCCTAGATGGCAAGCGTGCAGAGTGAGGATTATAATATTGGCGATATATTGGGAAGTATGTATGTAGAGAAGTATCCGGTAAGAGATATCATCGCTGTGGAAAGTCCAGTAACGGGGAATCTGAGACCTTCATAGGATTTATTGTTTTGAGAGAAGTGTTTTGTAAA